ATGTACTCAAATAGACATAAATCATGGTCAAGAATAGATAATTGTTGGATATCAGCAGAAGCTACACATCAAGTAGGGGATATTGAAATATTACCAAATACATATCCAGACCATAATCCAATATTGATGACATTAGTACAAAGGACAAGGAGACTCAACACGTAATTACTGAGAGAAAAGACTTTCCTGAATAAAATTTAAAATTAGATGATTTTTTTTTTCAAATCAATAAACTTCAAGATACAGGGATGAAAGTTGTATGGGATGCAGCCAAAGCATATTTGCGAGGATATGCAATAGAATAGAATATACAAAGAAAAAAGGAAAGGAACAAACAAACAATATCAAACCCTAATAACATCTCTAAGAAAAGAGGAAGCGGAGCTGAAGAAGACACCAACAAATAAAGGACTACTTAATAAATATGTTACAGCATAAAATTAATTTACTAGAACAGGAAGAGATGGAGAAGAAAATTAAATTCGCAAGGCAAAAATTCTTTGAGAATGCAAATAAACTGGGAAGATGGTTAGCCTACAGAATTAAAAGAGAGAGAGAGAAAACAATGATCACAGCAATACTTGACAAGCAAGGAAAGGAAATATACAAACAAAAGGAGATTGAAAATAAATTCATGATTTTTTCATCAAACTTTATAGGAAAAGAGAAGGAGAACAAGAGAGATGAAAAAATTATTTGAATAATATTCCAGAATGGAGGCTGAATTATGAACAATTGGAAAAACTGAACGAACCAATTACAATAGAAGAGATTGGGGAAGCATGGAGGAAACAAAAAAGTGGGAAATCCTCTGGCTCAGATGGACTTCCAGTGGAATATTACAAGGCATTTGAAGAAATTCTAAGTCCACAATTCAAGAAACGAAGATGTTCAGATTAAAGGGGAAATCCCAAACTCATGGAAAGAAGCATATATCTCCCTAATACATAAGGACAGGGCAGACAAAAAGCAAATTAAGAATTATAGACCGATCTCTCTCTTGAATGTTGATTGTAAGATCTTCACAACCATCTTAGCAATAAGGTTAAAGGGGATATACATAAAGATCAAACAGGCTTCATACCTAAAAGGAAATTGTCAACAAACATAAGGACGATAATAGACATATTGGAATATTATGAAATGCATTAGGAAAAGCAGATGATGTTAATCTTTTCAGATACAGAAAAAGCCTTTGATAACATTAATTGGGAGTTTATGTTGTCACAACTAAAGAGAATGGGTTTTGAAGAAACATTTTTACACACTATTAATGCTATATATACTAAGCAAGTAGTCAAGATAAAAATTAATGGTAATTTAACTGAAAATATACAGTTTGAACAAGGCACAAGACAGGGATGCCCGCTATCGCCCCTACTATTTATCTTAATTTTGGAAATAATGAACAGACAGATTAGAGATAATGAGGCAATTAAAGGACTTAAAATCAGAGGAGAAGAATTTAAGCTGCAAGCATACGCGGACGACTTAGTGATAATACTAGAAAATCCCTTAGAAAATCTGAAAGAGTTATTGAGAGTCATAGCAGAATTTGGACAGGCGGCTAGATTTAAAATAAATTATTAAAAAACAAAATTTGTGACAAAAATATAAAGAAAGAAGATGTGGAAAAATTAGCAAGGAACTCCAATTGTGAGGCAGTGAAAAAACTAAATATTTAGGAGTTGTTATCACCAAAAAAGCAAGCAATTTAATGAAAGAAGATTATCTAGCAATACAGAAAGAAATTCAGAAAAAATTTGAGGAATGGAGCAAATTACAACTTTCATTTATGGAAAGAATATCAACAATAAAAACGATGATTTTACCAAAACTATTACTCTTATTTCAAAATCTTCCAATACTATTGAACTTTAAGTATTTTAAGGACTTGGACAGATTGACCATCAAATTTTGTCTGGAAGCCTAAGAAACCAAGAATGAAATTAAAATTGTTACAAGATCTGAAAGAAAGGGGGGAGTGGGATTTCCGAATTGGTTACTATATTACAAGGCTTGTGCTATGACCTGGATAAAAGAATGGATAACTCTCGAAAATCAAAGACTTATGAAATTGGAGGGACATGATCTAAAAATGGTATGGCATGCATATGTATGGTATGGGAAACAAGGAACATTCACATCCTCAGGAAGGCTTAAAGGATAGTATGGCAAAAATTTCAAGCACAAACCTATAAGAAAATTCCATTGTGGGTGGCACCTATAGAAGCGTTTACGCTAAAAGTGTTGAACCAGAGGAGCACTGACTACGTATGAAAATTTCTTTCTATTTTAAAGGCTCTGGGGCTTTGTTTCTTCCAGGTTGTATCTCTTAAAATCTTTTTCCTATGGGGCAAGAAAGGCTGAACTTCTTTGGTCCTTATCACCAATCAGCGATGGAGATAGGAGCTATCTAAAGCTGAATAAGGTTTTTCAGGAAGGAGCTCAAGGCCATAACCCTAAAATATTTTTGCATGTCTGACAAGCTTTTGTATGGCACAGGAGCTGTGATTGTCAGATCAGGAGATTGTTATTTGTCTGTACTTTGTCACACTGGGGAAGTCGGTAAATCAACAAGAATATTCATCCATTGTGCTTTGCCCATGTCCTGCCCACCACGTCCAGCATATTTGAAGAGTGCAGATTGGAGGAGGCTATAATACAACTGATCAGGCGAACTGCTGATCTGTGCCATTTAAAGCATGGGCGGCTTTTACCAAATGTCATTATGACTGCAAAACATGCTATGCTCTGTACATCTCACAATTTCTTTAAACACTAATGATTCAATACAAGTTTGATGGAACAACCAACATAGAACACCAATTTTTGCCCTGCCAAGACTAAACAACAGTAAATTAATTTCCCCATCCCAGTAATCAATATTAATGAATTTTTAAACCTAAAAAGTTGAGCCTTGCATTAAGGAAAATTAGGAGGAAAAGACTTGTATGAATTCAAACTGCAAGTAAATGAAATGTTTGAATTAGTTTCTTTGTCCAGCCATCCGATGAGGAAGCATTAAAAAATATAGTACTTTGTACCAGCCACCTTGAGCCTAATGTGCAAAATGTTTGCTATTTGATTGAGGTGCCAGTCCTGCCATTAGGAAGGATGAGATACCTACCTCAGGCAGCAGGTGCTGAGTGTTGCTGAAAGATAGAACTCTGTGCCCTAGACCTTTGTTCTAGGACCCCTAAACTAGGCTGCTGCACTCGGGTGTAATAGAGGATGCAGTCCTAGTTCCAGTATTTCATTTGATTGCCAATCTGGTCACTTTTTGTAGATGACATGAGGACAGTATCATTTGTGGTCCATCTTAGAGAACAAATATCTTGCATCACACTTGCTTTGATTCCACTGAGTGTACACAGTGTACCCAAAACACAGGGATTTCTAGCACAAGCTACTATGGGGACAGGAAACTCATGACCCTCCAGATGTTATTGGACTACAAGTCCCATCAGCCATAGCACACATGGAGGAAGGGTGGGAGATGCCACTCTGCAACTTTTAGAAAGCCAAACAGTGTTGATCCTATTCTGTTTTTTAGATAAGTTAGAGGCAAATATTTTCATCCTTAAACCTGGAGACTTGTGTGATAGTTTTTATTTTATGTCATCCCCCCTTTGTTTTATTGTGATAAGATAAAGTTGTTTTTTAAAAGCTTCCATGTAAAGAACTTTTATTTCACCTGCAAGTGCTTTTTTTGTTAAGTGTAGTACAGCTAGTTTATATCTCGGTTGGACACCACTTTCTTGTCTTATGACCACCTCAGAGGTTCCATTCCTTCCTTCTGATTTGTTCGGTGCTACTACGTCACAGGACAAGGACCGATTTGGAGATGGCACCTGTCTTCCTTCTCTCCTGTGAAGTCTGAAGACATAAGCAAGCGTAGGATTTCTCTGAAGAATTAACTTTGATGCCATTGAGAACATCTCCTGCCAATAAACTAAATCTTTTTAGCTTTCTGACTAAAATATAGCTTAGGCACCCTTAGGTCAGTAGAGCTCCAGTCTAGACAAACTGGAAAATCAAGTTGTACAGGGAGACCAACAAAAGTGTTGAGGTTATTCTTTCATATTCTCACACAACAGATGAGCAACAGAATCAGGCAATCTATTTTTAACAGAGTATATTGGCACATGCCATATATCTTCCCTGGGCATGAAAATGTGTAGGAAATTGCTAGCCTTCTCCTGGACTTTACTGGTTGCTAAGCAATCTGATCCACTGTGACATCACTGCAACAATGGATTACAACAAAACAGTGAGTTGGGCACTGTCTGGCTTGGCCCATGGTCTGGGAAAAAGCTACATGCTCTCCTTTCTTGGGGAAGGTCATGGTTTGGATGCTGACCATAGTAGTTTTGGGATTTACCACAACATAGATTTTGTTGAGCAAGAAGTGATATGGCATGCAAGGCAATGAGCAGAATATTCAAATTTTGGAGGCAGAAAATGTACATGGGATGTTGTGGATCTGTAAAGGGGAGTTCAACAGAATAAAATGTCTGAGAACTCAGCAGAGAAAAGAAAGATAATGTTTCGCAAAGATCTTAATACGTGAAGGCAGAAGAAATACCTATCTCCCATTTATTGAAGATTATTTGGTGTGCTGATCTCCATTCTGGTATGTTTTTGTTCTACTTTCATTTAGTTGGAGAGCTTTATATGGAGAACAAGGTCAATACCTGTTATCTGTCAAGCCTGATACTCCTGAGAACAATGCATCTACAGTCACCTGTACCTTGAGTGTGGAGAAAAACCCTGTCAATGGTTACATCCGTAAGTACTCAATGCATTGGCATGTGCCTCCAAGCTGGATCCCACTTACAGTGACTCTAATAGGGCTTTCAAGGTGAGATGCTTAAGGAGTGGTTTTACCAGTTCCATAACCCCAGTGAGCTTCTGTGGCTCCGCAGGGATTCAAACCAAAGGCCTCCTGAGTCCCAGCCCATCGCTCTGTCCACTACACCACACTGGTTATGTCACACAACTCCCTACTAAGTCACAATATGGTCTATTGGTAAGAAGTCTTAATATGAAAGAAATGTGGTCATTAGGTTGAAAGCTTTTCTTGGTGATATTGTTTTTATCTACATTGTGGTATTTTTTGGTTGTAAGCCGCCTAGAGTGGTCCTAACCGACTAGATAGGTGGGATATAAATCGAATAAATAAATAAATAAATAGGTTAACATAATGTCAATTTCAATGAAAAATTCCACCTGCCTCATTGAAGAAGCATCTTTAAAACCCGTGCTACCTTATTTTGAAAGTGTGTGCCCCGTCTTTCTTTAAGTTTCTGGGGTGGCTAAGAATTCAGCATTAAAACAAAAATATAACAGAGTTTTAGTATAGATTACTTTTGATCAGATACTTTTAGAATTTCATTCTCTGTGTTGTCTTACTGATTTTTATTGCTATTTTGTAGTGTTTTATTACTGCTCTGCACTGTATTATAAGACAAGTCCCTCAGCTTTGGTGGTGTTGGGCAAAATCACTCTTTCAAATGCCCAATGCAATAACTAAGAACACAGGAAATGGAAAGCTGGCTTCTTCAAAGGGGCTAATGTCTCTCTCCAGCTTTGCTAATTACCAGCCACACAAGGATCAGAGGGATTTAGTATTGCATTATCCCTTTTGTGGGTGGGTGTCTTTTCTCTTGTGGACATCATTTGGGTGCTGTCCATCAAGCAATACCAATTCAAGAGGAATCTAATGTCAGTCTGCATGTTATACAGACTTTGTTATCGCTTGTTTGTTCTTTGTCTGACACTGTAATCTTCAGATGAATTTTATAATGCAAGGCAAAACATATCTCAGTAATACAGGGCAAGTATTGGACTTGTTTTCAGTGTCTTGCAGCAACATTCTCAACATTTCTGTATTTGCAACATCCATTTTCTGCGATGTCATTGCAGAAAGCCACAAAATTCCTATGAGAAGATTTGAAATTTAAGAGTTAATATCTGGTCATTTTCCTCCTTAGGAAAATCAGTTTGTTTTTCCTGGGAAATGTAGGAATATTGAACTCGTACTGAGAGCACTTCCACACATTTCCAGGTAATAACTCATCAGCTCTTGAGAAATCGTTCCAAAGTCTCTTGGACCACAACATGGTGGTTTAAGTTTGGGCCAAGGGTGTTGGTGTATTTGTGAAGCCAGTTTAACACAACAGTGCGAGTCTTGACTTAGTTGTTCAAAATCCTAATGGTAGTTGATGGGCAAGGTCATTGGGCTGTCCTGAAGGGAAAATGAATAGATAACAGAATAACAAGAGTGATGAAAGATTACCCATTTTATTACAAGATCTGAACTCTGTGGTTGGAAAAGCTTTATTAGAACTGAGTATACAGTACATTCACTAAAGAGGCAGGTTTTGGGGAAACATTTGCATCTTTTGTGTACAGCTTGTCATACTAAAGTTGTTGTCTACCAGTGGCTTGGCATTTTGTTTGACTCCTAGATCAACACAGCCTCGCTTTTTGTGGGAGGTTTGGGACTTATTTATTTGAAACTGGGCCTGGAAATGAATTGGGAGCCAAATGAGACCACAAAGTAGGGGTTTAATATGATCGTATATTTATTGTGTTTATGCCAGCCCTTGTTAACAGTTTCATTGTTTTAGAGCACAGAAGTTTCTGAAGTGTTTCCTAAGATCACTGGACATAATATAATGCTTTGCAGTAATTGAACCTAGAGGCCATTGTGTGCAAATAGCTGTAGCTTGGCCTGTATTTGTCCAGGTAGGGTCGTAGCTGAAATCAGAGTTCAAACTCATTAAAATATCTTATGCCACTGAGGCCATCTATGCCTCCAGTGATTACACTGGATCTAAGAGCACTGATTTAAATTTAGAAATGCACAAGGGTACGTTCCCACACATTAATTGAAGTACAAGTATATATAACGTGCTCTCTTGATTTTGAAAAAAAAATCCATCTTTCTCTGTGAAAATATAATTCCAAACTGACCCTCAGCACTGCTCGGTTCAAATGATTTCCAAGAGCCCTGTATCCACAGAGTGGATGCCAAATAACAGCATAATTGTTATTGTGACAAGCGTGCCTCTTACAAAAATGCATTTTCAAGAATCTGGAGAATGATGTAGAACTATCCCATCATGTACCTTTATGCTATACTCTATTATCACGCAAGACCTCTTACTCATCTTCCTGTGGTGTTGGCAGTGTGCAGTCTTCTTTTGAAAAGAAGTGCCATCCTTTCCTCCTCCCTCCTCCTGAGGCTCAGTGTCCCTGGCAGTGGAGCACCTTCTATTTGTCTTCCCTCCTGCACAACGGTATGAACCCATATGGAATAATGTGCACAGAGGCGTACAGTTTCTCCTATTAAAATAAAACATTTCTTTCTTACCTCCCCTGCCATGTTGCTCAGGAAGTGTGGGCTTCCTCAGATGCTACCCCCCCGGTCCTTGTACAAAAATGCTGAGAATGAAAAGAGTAAGACTCCTCCACAACTCACCTGCACCCAAAAGCCTTTCTCTTCTTCATGTCAGCATTGCTGGATACGGAGTGAGGGAACAGGGTCCTGGAGGAGAGGGGCATGGGGAGGGACATGGGGAGGGAAAGAAGGAAGGAAGAGATGTTCATTGTTGTAGGAAGAAGGGTTTGGGAGAGGGGATTCCAATGTGAGGAGGTACCCCACGGCCTCAGCCTCAGGGAAGGAGGAGAGGGCAAGAGGAAGGTGGAGAAGCCGTTTTCCAAAGAAGACTGGATGTGGCCGCTGTGCAGGGACAGACCCAAAAGATGACAATGGTTCGGATGCAAGACAGTTTGGTCTATATTTTGGGATTCTGGCCCTCCTCACCTGAAGACAGCAATCTGGGAGAAGCTAGGAGCAAAAGGTAGACCTGAAGCCATGCGGCCTGGCAGGATAAAGGAGAAACCAGGGCACAGGGTTGAAGAGCAAACCTGAGGCTTGGTTTAAACAACAATCAAGGATAAAGGAACACGTGAGAGACCCAGAATTCCTTTCTGTCTTGGACAGTAGCCAACCTGAGCGGGCAGAATCTGTCCAAAAGGCCAGAAATGATAGTGGGCTGGAGTACCATTGATCCTCCTCCAGATGATTTGCACTGTATAACACCCATGACCTGTTACTATTGACAAGCTACGTGTATCTTCTGGAAGCAAAAATCTGAAACAGCCAATGTCACGCCAGCATTTGTTTTCTCATTGGAAAAGCCCTTCAAGAACTTGGAATGGAAGACAACAAGACAGTGCAGACATTGGAAGCAGGCACTGTGATTCATAGTTATAGAGATAAGTGGTTTGGAATGGCAGAGTTCCTGCCTCTGTTCAAGCCAAGCAATGCAACCGGCACAATTTAAAAGCAACATTTCATTCTTTACTCCCCTGATATGGTTTGCCACAGGAACAAAAAAAGAAGATTATAATCAGAGCACTCAGAAGTAAGCAAAAACAGGGTGTGTTGGGCTAGAAACCAACAGGGAGACTACCCTTATCTTCCACCAGAGGCTGCCAGACATCTTCAAAAGCAAAAGACAGCAGCTCGAAACACTTCGGTCTCAAAAAGGTAGCTGTCTCCTGCTTTTGAAGCGTTCCTTACTCAGTTAAATGTTCAGTGCTTGCACCTTGTCACAACTGAAGTGAGGTTTTTATATACAAGTATGCAAAAAGTCCATTGAAAATTTAAGGGAATATGCATACAACCTGGCAAGAAGTTCTGTTTTTCTCAGTGGCTGCTTGACAAGCAGACATTCAACAGGTGCAGCCTATGTTACTTGTATCTTTATTAGTGAAGGACTGTGCTTCTTGATTTTTGAGGACTATTTGGTTTTTAAGAGATATTTTGTTTATTTGGTACATTTAGATACTACGGTTCTGCCCAGGCACTCAAGATAATTTACAGTCCAGAAAAATGCTTTGTATTATATGTAAAAAACCGAGAGCAAAACAAAGATGGGGATGGAGGTATTCATAATTATCTTATGTATGTTTTTGATGTAGGGATGACCATTCGGATTCAGAAATATTCAGGATTTGCCATATTTGGATAGCTGTGAATACGAGTTGTTGTGAACATATATAAATTCAAATTAGTTAGTTTTAAATAACTGTAATAATAATTCCTAATATTTGGAGTCCTAAATAGAGTAAAAGGCTAGGTTCTTTGCTTGCTAGAGGGAGAAGTGAAAATGAAACCAATTTCTCACTTTCACTTCTTCACCATGTATTGATGTGAAAGCTGGACAGGAAAGAAAGCTGACAGGAAAAAAATGATTTGTTTGGAATGTGCTGGAGGAGAGCTTTGCAGATATCCTGGACTGCCAGAAAGGTTATGCTGGAAAAGGTGGAAGGCAGCAGGAAAACAGGGAGACCAAATACAAGGTGGATTGACTCCCTAATGGAAACCACAGGCTTGGGTTCGCAAGAGCTGATCAGGGTTCCGAAGAACAGGAACCTGTTTTGGAAGATCTCTCATTCCTAGGATTGCCATAAGTCAGAGGCAACTTGATAGCACACAACAACATCAACAAGAAGTCATCAGAAGGCAGGGGCTGAGCCCCCAGCCCAGGGAAGCAGAGGGGCCAATAGCAAGAGGTGGTAGGAAAAGGCCAGACCCACACATCAAGAACAAGTTCAAGGGTACCCTGGAGGAACCAGGATTACTTGTCACTGAGGGGGAGATGATAGCCCTGCATGACCAGCAAAGCAAAGCAAAGCGTGTTGCTCATATACCGCCCCATAGCGCTTCAAGCACTCTCTGGGCGGTTTACAAGTTTTATGTTTTAAAATGTTTT